AAAAAAAAAAAAAAAAAAAAAAAAAAAAAAAAAAAAAAAAAAAAAAAAAAAAAAAAAAAAAAAAAAAAAAAAAAAAAAAAAAAAAAAAAAAAAAAAAAAAAAAAAAAAAAAAAAAAAAAAAAAAAAAAAAAAAAAAAAAAAAAAAAAAAAAAAAAAAAAAAAAAAAAAAAAAAAAAAAAAAAAAAAAAAAAAAAAAAAAAAAAAAAAAAAAAAAAAAAAAAAATCAATGCATATGGCAACCTGGATGTGTTCCGTACGCAGTTTCGTCCCCAGAAATGTCCCTTCCTGCTTCTGTGATTGGCTGACTGATTTTCCCAGAAGTCTGCACTAAGGTACAGGTATAATTTTTGGCATGCCTTGCCATAGGAATTACATTTTTGATGAGAAAAACCCTCCGGGTTAATTACTACTAAAGGGATGCCGACACTGCACCTTTCCTCATTACAACACAGAAAGTCCACCAGCTGGTTCTAATGAACCCAGACCCTCCCATTCAGGGATCAGTCTGGAAAGGACACGCTGCAACCAACAGCTTTTTCTGCAAAACAGAAACAGGTAGCAATCTGCAATAAAGTTTGTTAAAATCCTTGCAATGTACACGGATCACCCAGAGAGGACAAAAGTGGAATTACTCTTTCACCATTGCTATTAAAGTGACATTAAACCCTCAGATTTGTTAACATAAAACAATACTGTAATGTGCGCCTTACTGTAATCCATGGTTGTTTCCCTTCTCTTTGCTACTCTTCCTTTTAAATCTGTATCTCTTCTCATGCTGGGCAGAACTTCTGTTTTGCAGCAGACTGCCTTGTCTCTGGAATGGATACATGGTGTCTGTATGCAGGTTCACAACCTGAGCCAGCACTACAGGAAGAGGCCCTGAGCTGCAAAGGGAAGTTCTCCCCAAGCATGAGAAGACATGAGGATTTAAAAGGAAGAGCAGCAAAGAGAAGGGAAACAACCATGGATTACAGTAAGGTGCACATTACAGTATTGGTTTATGTTAAAAAATCTGAAGGTTTAATGTCACTTTAAAATGGAACCACAACCTCCTATAGCTTACAGCCAAGCAAGGTGCCACCTCAGCCCCTATTTGGATTGCAGTTGCCATGGTGCTGCACATGTGACCAGCTCTGACACCAGCCACCTGAGAGCTTGAAAGTTTGGTTGAGAGCTGAAATAAGCACACTGCCAACCTTGACAGTTGACATGCCTTTAAAGTAACTGTTTTGGGAGACATAGAAATGGTGGGCAAAGTTCCTCTTTCATCATTCAGCAGGGACAAACAAATCACGGTTTCTTTCCAAGTGTTAGTACAGGATAACTCTAAGTTATTTGTATTTGGAATAGCCACATGGCTTATAAGTGTAAAGCTGAACTCCGGGCACAAACATCTCAAGTAGATATAATCCACAATGGACAAGTAGCAGTGATACATATCCTGTGTAGGGATGTACGAGGGGCTCAGCAGTCCTACCCACTACAGAACACAGGAGGGGGCAGAGACAAGACCAGTCACCCTGCACAAG